TGCCCACTTGGTGCTCCCAGACACCGGAGCTGCCTCCACCACCAGCACTGGAGTGCAGGGCCGGGGCTCCGCAGGGCTCCTGCGCCGCTTGGACCCAGCGTGGGTGAGCAAAACACGTACCAACACCGCCAAGCTGCAATGCTCGTAATGGGATTAACAACCCATTAACTCCCATTAAGAAATGTAATCCCGTTAGCCAGAGAGCTTTTTAGTGCCCAGAGCCAGCTGCAGCTCTCCCCCTCCCGCCCGGAGGGAGCTGAGCCCACCAAGAAGCTGAGCCCACCACTGAAGAAGCCATTCCCAGGTATTTGCTGCAGGTGCTTTTCCTCCATGACAGCCCCATACCCACCCTGGCTGCCTCAATCCATGACAGCCCTCCTCTTCATTTGCAGCCTATTTAATTACTAGGGAATTAATGACTAGAGCATACCCTGTCACTACATTAGCTTTTCCCTGGCTGGAGTCTGTACTTTTGGAGATACTCATGGACAGATGCCGCATCCTCTCTTGGCTCTTGCTTTGAGGGTTTGAACACTCATGTTTTTAATTCCCTCTGTTGCCCAGGCTCCCTGTTCCCCCATCATCCCTGCAAGCTCTTCTCCCATCCAAGCGGGTCCTGCCGGGAGCTGGTGGACCAGAACCCTGTTCCAGATGAGGGCTCAGCAGGGCTTTAGGCAAAGCTATTTATATCTCCCTCTGTTGAGTTAAAATCTCATTCAATACATCCTAGGAATATAGTTGCCCTTTTCAGATCCTCATCATAATGATGACTCACAGGATACATCTTCAATACCAACATATTAAAAGAAAAAAAAAAAGAAAAAGAAGAAAATAACAAGTTCGTTTGGCTGCTTTGTAACTTTTTTTGAAAAAAAAAAATTGTCAGCCAACATATCAGACAGAGGATCTACTGCTATTCTCCAGTCTCTACAGAGTTAAAGTTCGCTGTGACAGTACAGCGCGTGGTCATATCCTTCATCTACCAATATTGCGGACAGTTGTGCCAACAGCCAAACCCAAGCCCCTCAGATGACAGCCATTCCCAGCACTGCCAAAATATATGTATGTTTCCAAGTAACTGAGAAGATGGATGGATGCAGAGAGGCCAGCACAGCTCCAAAAGCCTTGCCTCAACACTCCACCACCTCAAACTCTTCTTCATGCCCCAGGCTGGCCAGCCTCAAATGCTGAAGACAGTTGGAACTGCTGTTTTGTTGTTCTGATGTTCTTACCTGTTGTTCCTGGTTTGGCATCCTTCCTGAAAACGTGCCTTTCTCCAACATGGGTGAGAGCACAGATGCAGGTGTACAAGCAGGCATCCAGTCACAGCAAGATGCTCTGAGATCCAGTAAGACGGGTCCTTCCCTTTACTCTACTGGGCTTTAGAAAAATGCCAAGAAGTTAGTTACACCATCTTCAACGGGCAGGTGCAAGAGTCCCCAAGAGCACCGTGTGTTCCTGAGCTGCCTGCAGGTCTCACTGGCAACCTGCACACTACCTTGTACGAATTCTCATCAGCAAGCCTTGGAGATCTTGCCTGAGCCTGCTGGCGGCTTCCCAACAACCTCCTCATCATATTAATGACAGACTAATGGTGTAATTGGGCTAAGGCCTGCACAGTCTTTCCCGTCCCTTGATGTAATGACTAAAAGCACTTTCCTGCAAGATTCTTCTCCCCTTTTTCATCTAGTAAGGATAAGGTGAATCTCAAGTGCACCTGAAGAGCCTTTGTAACTCTGCAGCAAACCAGCTGAGATTTTACGGGTCCTAACAAAGAAAGAGTACACCTAGTGTTCCTCTAACGGGGCTGGGATTTATCAATATATGGGTAAGATAAATTGAGTTTATGAGAAGCACAATTCTCCAAGGGTGCTTTCAGCAGGTTTCAGAAAAATACTGTTTTGAAGTAGCTGTAGCTTTACAAGGAGGAAGAGAATTACTCCTACAGGAAATGACAATATGGGCATACAAATAACGTCTTCCATATTTTTTTTTCAGTAGGCACACAGCAACGTTTCCTACCTCTTACTCAGAATAACCCTCTCCAATTAAAAAGAGCACGTGTCCTAGAAACAGATTAAATACTCTGCGTTCAAGAAGGAAGATATAAAAAAAAATGTTGAAAAGTGTGTACTTATCTCCCGACCAGCTGTTGGAGCAAGAGAAACAATATTTAGCTCTTGGCCTCAAATCCAAAGCATTTCCTCCAGCTGGATAGTCACACGATCCTCAGTCCTACTCTTCTTCACTTGCACATACACCAAAGCACCTTTTGTAGTCACAAGAACGAAAAGCAAGTCTCTACCCAGCACAACTGCACACACAGCCTGTAGGGCATTTCCATGAAGACACTTGCTGAAAATGGGATAATCAAGCCCTTTAGTGCAGGAAAAAAATATTCCAGTTATTATCAGGTTGATCTTCTAGCACAAACTTTTCCCTCCTTGACCGTGGAAGAGAGGGCTTTTTGTGTCTGGTATCTGCACACAGCCAAGCACGTTGCCTGTGCAGCATGTTAGCTCCTGGCCTCCAGAAGCTAAATGCAAGCCTTCAGTTTGCTTTTCCCCTACTCTTCTTTACAGATTATGGCTGTAAAATGTAGCTAACTGGTACCTCTGTGAAATTATATCTCCTCCTGTACTCCCTGGTCACATTTGCCTAACACTAGCCCATTTCCAAGCACCTCCTAGTACCAAGACCAGAAGTGTGAAAGACATTAATCTGGAATCACGCTATTGCACTGGCAATAATACACACACAAAAAAAGAAAAAAGCAGCCGTGCAGAGATTCTTGAAAAGTCACAACAGAGCAAAGCCCTTACATCAAGCCCACATCAAAAGTGGCCTCTAGAGTTTTTGCAGAGACATCACTGCTGTGAAGTGCGATCAGGCAATGTCCCAGGGACAGCAACTGTGTCACAAGCTCCTGAAAGGAACCAAAGAGCAGGTTTGTTCAGGCAGCACTGAGGATGGGAGTTCAGGTCTCCCAGTTCATGGGGCTGAGAGGATGATAGAGACTATCAAAAATCAAAAGCAGCCATTTTAATCACTGCATCAAGCAACAGTGCTGCTTTCAGCATTCTCAGTGTAACCTGCTGTCCTGGTTTCGCTGGGACAGAATCATAGAATCAATTTTCTGTTTGGGGAAGCTACATTTCTAAAGCAAGCTGTGTATTTAAAAAGACTGCAGCACCCAATTCCATGGGAACAGAGTTGGTAAGGCACTTTGTTTTAGTCTGGAGCCAGCCATGGTATGCAGGTATCAATAGTGATCAAGGACTTTCAACTTGTTTTTGCTAATGACCGAGATGTCCAAGAACCTGGGGCCAGGGTGACTGACACCTAACTTGGCAAATGGGTATTCTATACCATGTAACAGCATGCTCACTATACATTGGAGAGTTTGTTGGGGACAGGCTCTCTTTGCCCCCTCTTGTCTTTCTCGCTCTCTCTTCCTTGATGGCTGCTGTCCCTGGAGGCTCTCGCTTGACATTCTGCTCCTGAGGCCTACTCCCTCTCTCTTCTGGGATTGCAATTTTCAGGACTTTCCTGCTATGGAACGCTGGCCAGGAATGGGCTGGACATTGCCCAAGGGCTGGTGAGCAGCTGCACTTGTTTGTATATATTATTATTGTTCTCATTATTATTTTCACTTTTATTTTATTTTATTTCAATTATTAAATAGTTCTTAGCTCAACCCATGGGTCTTCTTTCCTTTTCCTGACTCCCCTTCTCAAGTGGGGAGAAGTCATTAGGTAATAGAATAGCTGGCTATTGTTTATCCATGGATACAGGCTAAACATAGACAGCTGCAAAGAGCTGTAAAGGGAGCAAATAACACATCCTAGGGTACCAGCCTAAGTATCTTATGGAGGTAGTTATTGATTCATCTGTAAGCAAAGTATCATAGGAGTTTCTCTTTTGAAAGTTGATGCATTTTAGAAAGCACAAAAGAAAGTGTCCCCAAAGAGACCTATCTTTCAGCCATTGTAAATATTTTTTAAAAAGGCTAATATTTCCACTGCATCCATATTTCTTAAGCTTAAGGTTCAAATGGGAGATGAAATTCTAAAATAGAAAAAGTACCAAAAGCTTGTGAACCATGACTTAAAACAACTTTTTATTTAAACATCTCAGTCCAGAATTGGTTTCTTACAAAACAAGAGCAAAAGTCCGCACATGTCCCCTTCTCCTCACTCATCCGTGGAAATCAGTCTCAATTCTTGAAGAAAACACACACATACACACATGCCCTTCCTGAGCAGCCAGGCTTAATCCCTGGCAATCAGCACAAGCTTCACCCTACACTGATACAAGAAGCACATGCCATGGAGCAGGTCTTAAGATTTAGCAGATGAGGCCAGTCAGTGTGCACACCAGTACACACCTCCTGGCAGACAGCATACTACTTCGCTTTGAGGTACTGACTGCTCTGCACAGACAAAAATCTGGGGCTCTCCCTCCTCTCCCTCACCTCCACAAAACATAAAGATCTGTCTGGATCTTTTCTCCTCACTGCCAAACTGAATACCAGAGAGCTGGTTTGTGAGTTACCCAAGGAAAGGCCAAATTTTGCCAGTGAACTGACTCCTATAAATACAGACTAAAATTCTTGTAAAAGCACTCTGCAGCTGCTAAGAAGTTAGTTTTCACAACAGTTCTGCCTTCTATTGAACAGTTCAGACAACTATTATCTGCTTTTTAAACAAAACAACTGTGGAAGCTGACGTGCTGAAACAGACCAGCATGCTACTTGCCCATGGCCACTCAGTCATCAGCAAAACCAGGACTGCAAAACCTGCAGGCTCTCAGGTGCGCTCTGCTCATCTGTCACGCTGTCAGATTGCCCTCTCATTCTTTGAGATAAAATGCTCTACAGATACAGAAACTTAGAGTCTTTTATTTTTGAAAACTCAAAAAATAGTACTTGATTGCTTTCGTTTTTTCTTTATTTTTTAAAAAAAATAATGTCTTAGCTACCTTCTCTTTTGCTGTAACCATTACACTTTAAAAAACTCCTCAATACGTCGCTTTTTGGGGGGACTCACTGAACACATCTCTCCCTCAGTACCTTGCAAGGCACTGTCAGAGTCAAACTCACAGCAAGCATCAGCTGCCTCCAAAAGCAAAACTTCATCAGTGTCATCTCTGCTCTCAGAGAAGGTCCTCTGGAAAAGGTCGTAGATGGTCTTCTGCTTTGGATCTGTCTGAGAAATTAGAACAGACAGAATCTGCAAACACGTTGTCATATAAAACCAAAGTGAGCAACAATCAGAGGGCACTCCCCCTGAGACAGTGCATGTGTGTGTATATATATATAATCATATGATATATATCTATCATACATAAATATATATACACATATATCTCAGAGACATATATATGCCATGGAAGCTATCATGTCTCCTTGCATGCAGCAGGTTTGGGAACCCTCTGTGGAGAGTCTAAGTCAAGGCATGGATCTTGGGAGGAGTTGAAGAATCTGGTCTGTGGCATTAAAGGTAGAACAGGTGTAAAGGTCAGCCTGCCAATCACCTGCCAATCTAGATGTACACAAGACAAAGCCCATTCAGCCTCTCCCAAGGACCATCAATATTCTTTCAGGTCAATTACCTTAGGGCAGTAATTAGTGGATTCAGCTGTTTTGGAGAAATCAGTTTCTGAAAGACCAGCTTCCCCCAGCACTTTGATTTTCTCTTGAATCATTGGCCTAGGAGAGATAAACAGGTATTACTGAAGGGAAGAAAATATCATGCAAGGACACTGTGTCATTTACTCTGTGTAGATGAAAAAAAAAGATATAATGGGGTATAAAGATGGCTTTTCTACCAAAGCTTGTTAGTCCCTTAACCTGTCCTGCTCTTGTTTATGATGACTATATATATGTTGTCTTGGGATACCAGTAAATCTCATTTAAATAAGTAACAAGAAGGGGATTTCAGGCCATAAATATTTGGAGAACACACATTGCCAATAGGGAAACTAGCTGACTGAGGCAACACCAATGGTATGAAGTCAGAACAAGAAGATGCAGCTAAAAACGGAGTCCCAACAGCCTGCGTGTTCAGTCTCCAAGGCAAGCAATGGTGATCCCCACCAACAGATGCATCAGCATTTCTAAGGTATCCCCCAATATACTCCAGAAGGAAGAATCCATCACCAGCCCAAGAGGCTGAGAGGTCCCAACTGCACCTGCAGACTGGACACTTTGAAAGTAGCAAAGGCCACAGCACAATTAATGCATTTACTAAATAGCCTTGTCGTCTTGCTCTTTTTCTTGGCTTTAAAAAGGATGCCACTGTCCTTCTTTGAAGAGCCATATTTCCTTCCCATTAAGCATTAATGACTGCATGGACAGCATTTAAAAAAAAAAAAAAAGCAGAATTACTGTCATTAACTTTCCATGAAACGTGGGCGATGCATCAGTTTCCAGATCCCTGCATTTTAGGGTTATAATTATTTGCCATCACGATATTCTGGGAACTGCACAAGTTCACTTAGTTACTTGTTCCTTTGAACAAGGAAATAGATGTAATTTTGGACTTTAAATGAACCAGTTAGTGGATAATTTCTTTTAATCATTTGCAGGTCAGTTCCCTTGCAGCACTAAGGATTCCTCAGATCCTCCCCTTCCCCAGCATGCCAAGATTTCCCAGTCCTAAGGACCAGCATCCACTGATAACTCTCACTGCAGCCAAGAAGGCTCAGACCACAGCTCTCCAGAGGTGGGTCAGTAGCACTTCTTTAATTCATCCAAAGGGTTCACTGAAGAGTCAGAGGAAAGCAACAGTGCAGTCCTTCTCCACAGCTCCCTGTCCAAGCACTCAGCAGCCAGATTGCTCCTCAGACCTGATCCACAACACGTTGAACCATCTCCAGCGTCCGTTGATTTTGTTTGAAAGTACTCAGCACTTTACAGTACCCCAGCATACGAATGCTCTGGGCTGTATCAAAGACAATTCCTTCTCTTTGTACAGAAGTTGTGAAGATTTTAGATGCGTCAACTCTCCCAGAATTTCTCTCAACAGCCCCTTCTTTGTCAGATAACTACTTTTATTTCTCCTGCTTGTCATCCACTGAGTTATGCCCACTGTGGCCAGGCTACGTCACCAGATCACAGTGGCCCTGATTGGCAGTTACTGCTCCTCCCCTCACAGGCTGTGGAAATGAGCAATAACATTAAGCATCTTACATCACATAGGTGACAAACAGTGAACATAGGCAGCAGGAGAACCAAAGCGTCTTTCTCACTTCCTACCATAAGTATTCATCTGCTGTGCCTTCAGCCACCAGGTAGTGAACATTAACTGAGCTGGTTTGTCCAATTCTATGTGCCCGATCTTCTGCTTGGATCAAAACCTTTATGTAAAAAAAATGAAAAAGAAAATAAAATGAGAGCTGCAACATCTTAGAAATAGTGTAAGCATCAGAGAACAGGGAGATTTTGTTTCTTGTGCTTAGCAACTGTTTCTAATCTGGGTCCTGTTAACACCTGCATCCTCAAACACAGACTAAGCCAAGAAGTAATCTGGTGCACCAGGTTCCCAAAAGGCACCGAGCATTTTTCAAAAGCAGAGGGCCAGCATTGATGATGGACTCTTTCAAGTCTTGGTTGGGCGAACTGTTGATAGCTCTGTCAAGTTTAAGAAACAGGAGCACGTTTCCCTTTCATGCCATCTTCTCCAGCCAGCAAGCTGTGTAACCAGCCTCACTGGTTCAAGCCCAGGCAGCTGGGGGTGCATAGAGAAGTAGCCATCAGAGAAAGAAAGAGAATAACCTTAGAGAAAGTCCTCTGCCCATTACATCTCCTCCCAAGTGCCCATGTTTCTGCTGTCCAGGGTGAACATCCAACCCCTGTGCCCTCCAGGACACATACTCCCGGATTCCAGAAGAGCTCTGCAAACACCACCAGGTCCGCAGCAGACAATGTCAGGCCCATGTTTGCAGCAGTGAGGGACAGGACAGCCACAACCTGCTTCTCGGCAGACTGGAACTTCTGGCACAGAGACTGCCGCTCGGCTGAAGGTGTGGAGCCGTCAATGCGAATGTATTCAACATGCTGTAAAAAGGCAGAAGATACTTTTTAGAGGCCTTGTGTCCCGTTTCCCATATCCTCCTTCCATGTTTTAGTGGATTCTGTTTCCCTTCCCCATGGCAGAACCAGGAAAGTAAAAAGGCAACAGTTGTACTTTTAAGACCTTTCTTCATCTTTAAGGCAGAGGCACTGTGGCTCAGCATATAACAGATCTCCCCTCTGTTCACGATGCATGAGTTTCTCCTATGTCCATTGCTCTCCCACCAGTCCAGAGCAACAGGAAGAACAGCAACAAGCTGGTAACTCAGGTACAGTGGAAAGGTAATTGGTTTAATATGAAGCTGAGTACTATCTGTGTGCTGATGTTACAGCTGCTACAACCTCCACAACCTCCCTAAGTCTTCCTTTGTTTGTGATGGAAGCTGATGGGATCCTACACATCTCAGTTGCTCTGTGGTAGGCTCAGGAGAGGCATGACAAACTTGGGTGATGCAGGGCCACAACTCCTCAGTGTCCAACCTCCTTGCTCTACTGATGGATGCTGCCACAGAGGCAGCAAAGTCACGACTGCCACTGTGGTTTATAGTTCGGAATGTTAATTTAAATCATCCTTCACACTGCCCCAGCATGACCCAGAACTCTTTAGAGGCATCCATGAAGTCTCACATGAATAATTAGCCAAACACTTTTGAAGTCAAGGAGATGACTGGCAGGTCTATCAAGTCTCCCTACAGTACCCCAGTTCAAAATGTAAGAGCACTACAGAGATAAAGGCAGGGAGCCGTGGCTGGACTTGGGTTGTTACGTTCTCCCTCTCTGAGGGAAACCTGGAGGACAAAGCAGAGATGGCCACACAAGGTAACACTCCAAGAATTCACAAGCTCCAGGGCAGATGATGGAGACTAAAGAACATTAAATACAACAAAAGCCATTCAGCTAATACGAAGTGCATCCTGTGAGGCATTCACCCTGACAGCTCAGCTCCCTCAGTGAAGGGCACATTCAGAAGTACAGCAAGTAGAAATTATCTCTGCCACTTTCATAAACTATCTGATCGGCCGTAGCTCTGGGGAGCTCTTTAACAGCTTTGAAGCTGGGATAGTGATAAAGTTAAGACGACTCAGTCAATTACTTACTTTCTTCTCCAGCTCTGCAGCTATTGCATCCAGCATTATCTTGTGGTGAGCAAACACCAGGAATTTATCATTCCCACTTTCCAGTAACTCCAGGATGTATTCTCTACATGGAAGAAAACCCAAAACTCTATAAATTATGTGCTGACAGAAGACAGGCTTTGCTCACAACAAATTGTAAAGATACTGTTCATCTATATACAGAAACTAGAAAACAGGCTAGCATAAAAAAGTTGCAGTAAAATGCAAGTAACAAGTCAAGCCTCGCCTCCTACAGAATAAAAAAGACATTGCAGGAAAATCCACTCATTTTTCCTTCACCACAGCTGGACAGTTACCTACATTTATATTTGCATATCAATCAATTTATTATATCCTACTTGAAACATGACATCCCAGACCAATCAACTGGAGGTCACCCGTACTTATTTGACAATCTTATTCACCTGCCTGTATTTCTAACTTTTGCACAATCACAATATGCTAAGCTAATCTGTATTCAATTATCCTTTCTATGTATACTTAGGATTGTTTTTATTTTAGAAGAAAAGGTCTCTAAACGCATGCATCAGACTATCCTAAAAGTAGCTTTTCTTGCAAGGGTTCACTCTGACGATTTACTACAGCTTAACAATATAAATACATCAGCTATTTCTGGGAATTATCCATATAGCCTAATGACCAATGAAAGGTAAAATGATGCCTTTTAAATGCAGTTAAACAGTGTTAATTAAATGAAAACATCTGGCTTTTCCCACGGACTAATAGCTGAGCTAGAGAACCCATTTCAGTGTAGTGACTTGACAATCAGGTCAACTGGAGCCTGAAAAACACCTAAATAGCCTAAAACCTGTAACTAAGTATAGCAACGGCTATCAGAACAGATGATAGAAATGTCATCTTTTCTTTAGAATAACAAAGTTGTTGTGAAGCTCACGAATAGCAAGTTCTTTGCTAAATACAATACAGCTTAGGTCAGCAGCAACTGTCAGAAAACACCAAGCGGGATTTCCAGTGCTATATTAAGATGTATCAGTGCCTTGCAGACAGCTCCCAGGGTTCTGTGATGTTAAGATCCCAGTCATGCAACAATATCAATTAACAAAGAAATCTGGGAGGGAAGTGGGATTTCTGGATTTTAAAGCAAAACAAATATCAAAGTGACCATTCAGTGTAGCATGCAGATGCCAACACATTACAATTATTTTATATCTCATTCCCACATTGGATTTAACAAATGGCTAGTCATTTCAATGGAAGTAATGGAAGACACTGTCATCAAGGGTGAGACATGGGAGGTGCTGATAATCACAGGCCAGTACCATTAGCTAGATGGTACTGCACATTAGCAGCTTACAACAAGTAGTATTTTAAATGATACTAAACCCCAGAAAAAAAATGGACTAGTTCCTACCAGAGAGTCAAGTAAACAGCACTTCATGGTTTTATATTCAGTTCACACTTGGAACTGGATATAAAGGGAAGAAAGTCTTCTAACCATTCACTAACATAAAAGGAAGAAACTCTTCTACAGAAATGAGTGCTGGGACTCTGAAGTGCAGTTCTGTGCCAAACAGGCAGATTCTGCAGCAAGGTCTGAGACTGTGAAATCACACAGCGCACATCAGCTGGTCCTTACGTTCAGAGGGCTGTGGAAAAGTAAACTGTTTTCATGTTAATAGCACACTACTTTTTAATAAGTCATACTAAAGCAACTCCTTTGCAGTCTCAGCAAAAGGCTAAGGATGAAAGGGCACAGAAAGTCACAGAAGGAAATTATTTCTAGGGAAGACAGAGTTAAAAGCACACCTATGGAGGAAAACTTTAGCTACTGAGGTCCCACGTGAGCTCTGTGGAAGAGCCAAGAACATCACTAGGGGCTGTGACATCCTTAGAGCATGCTACAACTAAAGCTCAGTCCATCTCGTAAGCTTTTTGGCTCAGGGTTCCTGGTGCAGCAGGACTGCAGCGTTTGTTTTCTCAAATTCTGTTGACACTTTTAGTTTCATTAATCCTCCTCTCCTTAAATTGAAATAGGGTCCAGACCAGGGAACTTGATCCAAGTCCCAAACACCAAGTAATTTTAGTGGTTCAAATGACAGTTTAGATCCATATCGGGAATGAAATCGACTTATTCAGCTTAGGAACTTTGAGAGAAGAAAATGTTTAGCGCATTGTAATTAAAATCAATTTTTTCTAAGCTGGCTTGAGGCTATGCTTCATGTCCCTGCACTGTTATCTCTAAGGCACCGTTTTCCTGTTCTCAATGGAAAAACACATTTTACTAGGCAAGAATGAAGCAATGACATGCAGCTTACACAACTGAATGGATTTTAGCTTCTGCTGTTCTGCTGTAGAAGAGGAGAAGAGCTTCCTTCTCTTGTTGTTTCTGCAGAGAGAAAGATAAATAAGCATGAGTCTCCGACATACCTTTTCTCCTTCTTCCTTACAGATCTGGGATGTCTGAGGCTGTCAATAAACACTTTTCTAGGAGAAAAAAACAGCCTAAAAAAAGCACAACAAAAGAGGATTGGAGGGGGAAGTCTCCTACTTGCCACTGGGCATGGCAGATACTCACATTCCTATTTCTGACACCTCTCTTCCTACCTCCTACTCAACTCCTACAAGTTGGATAACAGGCATATCACAAACATAGTTGTAGTTGAGAAAGCACCTCCCAAATAAAACGGCAAGGGAAAACTCTTAAGTTCTTACAGAACTGTATGAGCAACCTAGGACCTAGAACAAGCATTTGCCATCCACACAAGAAAAACCACCATGATAAGCAAAAATACACTCTTCACATTTTTAGCTATTGCTGTGTTCACAACAGGCCGTGTTTGTAGGGTGAACAGGATTACAAGGCAAGACAGAAGAGTAAGTACAGAGGCAGGAGGTACGAAAGACAATCAGAAAGGACTAACGAGAGAGGAAAGAAAGAGAGAGAAAAAGATATTTCACACAGAGACAAAGTAGACCACATAAATCAAAAGGAAAAAAAGTTGAGCTGCTTTGATTGTGTTGTACATTAATTTAAAAACTGTGCCTTCAACAGCCTTCCACTGTGCGTTCACACGAGGTGTGGCTCTGACCTTCCTAGGAACTCAGGGTACTGTTATTTCACTTATGTTTTTAAATAAAGGCACCTGAAATACCAATGGCTCATCACAAAAATAGTTTCTGACTTACACTTTCATATCCTTTGGCCATCTTCTTCGCTTCAGCTGCCAAGACAGCTTTGGTCTTTGCACTAATGCCTTCAGGAGCCACCACAACCATTTTGCGTTGCTTTGCTGGAAGCTGAGAAAGCACATCTGATTTCAGACGTCGGATCATGATGGACTCTTCCAGCAAAATTTTCAGTTCAGTTAAGTTAGATGATCCAGAGTAGTCCCAACCCCATGGCATCTGTGAAAGATCAAAGCCATTATCAGTGTCAAACTTACAAGAGGCTGACTCTTCAGGTCTGCAGGTGATCCAACAGTAAATAAACAAACTTCCAGGGAAACAGGACAAGGCAAGGACTTAATGATCAGTAGGAAGAGAGATTTGACAAAAAAGACAATAAGATATAAGTGTACAAACTAATCCATGCAACATGAGGTGGTTACTTTTAAACTTCTTTTTCTCCTATCTCCAAGTGCTCTAGGAAGTGCAGGGAAGAGGGCTACACAGAATGGCAGGGATGCCCACAGCACTGTGCCCTGGTATTCATCCTCACACAGCAAGGTATTCCTGCTCTCCACTTGCAGCTTTGGGTAGACCAACAGAACTCACTGCAGTTCTGTGCACACACATTTACCTCAGCTTTAAGCAGAGAGAGACAGAAAAATCTGCTCCAACAGCAAAAAGATGAACATCTTTAACTCAAATGCCTTTCACAGAGCTGTTACACTTGTCTGACATGCCTAGTAAATGCTGGGTCAAAACTGCCTGCTTTCCACTGTGACCTGTCTCTTGATCGGCTTCCTGACATACTCTCTTTCTGCCATTATCAAGTTTGGCTCAGACTCAAGCAAATCATAAATAAATTGTACCCCGAAATACATCACTCCAAGCATCGTCTCTTCAAAGCTCCTCTGAACAAATCCTTCATTTACTCCTCCTTGAAGCACTTGCCTCTGAACCTGCCCTATCCTCCATGATCCTGTGTGCAGACAATATATATCTGTTCAATTAATCTCAGCTCATCGCTTCTCCTACTAGCAACCCCACAGCCTATCATTTGTTCTCCAGGAAAGAAAAACTAAGCTGACTAAGCTAACAGTGGCGTCAAAATTGGAACATTCCCCAGAAGAAATATCTTTAAACAACTTTCTTTTGGACAGGAGACCAATAAGGTTTTTATGCTGACTTAAAGGATAAAGACATACCTTTCTTAAATAAGGTTTCACAAATAAGTATATGAAACACAGTGACAGTAATACTGAAAACCAAGGAGGGGGTGGGGGATAATCTTCCTCACAGCTCTAATTCCAAGTCTTACTAGCAGCGTCTCCAAAAAAAAGTCAAAAATACAACCTCTGGTCTTGGAACAACAACTCAAAGTAACCCCCTACACATGTATACATACACTCTCCTGAATTGCACATAAGGGAGACGTAAGGAGCCTCAGCATCAACTCTTTTGATCTGCTGCTTCACTCTAATTGTGCCACATTAATTGCTAAAATAGATTTCACCTTAAAAATTCATATTTCTTTTATTTTTATTCCCCAAGAGAAACCTGCTGCAACACAGACCGGAAGTAAAAAAAAAATGAAAAGAGCTCAAAGTATTCACTGCACCCTCCATCCTCCTGTAGAGTGCACGAGACAAAAAATTAATCATACCAGCCATGAAGTTAGTCACGTTACTGACTGTATCAAGGAATGGTGCTCTGACAGAACAGATGAGGGGATGAGAACATGCTATGAGACAGAAAGAGGAGGAATCAAACAGCTCATAGGCAATTAAGACCTCTCTGATATCTGGAACTGAGCATTCCTACTTCAGGTCAGTCTGCAATTTATTGCCATGTTGTACTGATGTGAATCATTAACTGACTTCAGATTCTGGCACCTACGGCCACCACTAAAATTCATTTGACTTAATATACTTCTACATAATTATGGTTCAATCTGATTATCTATAGCTGGTTCATTAAAGCAGGAAAAAATTCAAAACCTAGATACAAAGCTAGTTTGAATCCTGTAGAGTTAAAACTTTGGCTCTGTAAATAGCACAGTGGTATACAACTAGAGATAAGCCGTCCTCCTGGATCTAAGCCAAGCCCTCAAAAAGCCAAAATGGGTATTACTGCTCTGCTTCTCTGAAACCAGGAGTGCAACGCAGATACATCTCTCAGGTTCATGAAAAGCTGGCTCAAGTCTAGCTGAATTTATTGGCTTTGGGCATGCTGCATGAAAGCCAACAGTGCTGACCCCCCAGTCTTTGTGCCTCCTTTCTGCATTTCTTCAGGCTCGGTGGACCCAGCAGAGCAGATGTACAGAACCAAGAAGGACCCACCTGGTGCTGCACTCAGCCTCATAAGCCCTCTGCCCACACTGCACGGTGTACTGGTAGCTGAGTAGCAGGGATCAACACTGACTGGGCTGCTGAGTAAGACCTGCTAAGGGGCCTGGACACCCTCCCCAGGCCACCTCATTCTACCCATGCAGCCCATGTTTTTCCACTTTCCACTTCCATAACAAGTGATACATATGTTTTGTGTCCATGTAGCACAGTTCATTTCAGAAGAGTAACATCACAACCAAAAGAACAAGGCACAAACAGAGCCAACATACTATATACTGTCACATTAAAAAGCATATACAGGCAGAATCCCTACAGGATGTTCAGATTACTATACGTCTTTCATGGTGACTGTTGCTGGAACAATTTGCAAACCAGGAAATATGCTAGTTCTGTGCTGCATGTAGCTAGTGATAAAAAAGATAATTGTTTTTGCAATTATTAAAATATAGTTTAGTACATCCCATTGTGGAAGAGAAAGAAATGAGAGGAACATTTATTTTGCCAAAATACACATCTGGCTTTGATCCATAACATTCCAGAATGCACGCATCCAACTGTGATTTTCTTACCAAAGTGTTACAGCATCTTACATGAGTCAGTAAACTTATTACAGTGTTAGCAGAAGCTGCCAAACTCTTACAAATTTAGAGCATGTGCTCAGAGAGAAATTATTTAATATTTGCCAACATCACCCAGTTTGAAAAATGAATTCACAGCATGTATTTTGGGAAACAGACTTGAGATATTTTGTAAATAAGCAGGTGACATTTCACTTGCTGCTTTTTTAAGAATACAGATGCTGGCAGGTTGAATTACAAAATGATAAACTTGTATTTTATATCTTTTCTAATTACATCTGTCAGATACTAGTAATTTTCTATCATAAAATCTATTATCTTCAAACAGAAACTAGTCAGGTTTTAGTTTTACATTGAATGGTTCGGGTTTGTCACTTTTTTTTTTTTTTCAATCCTACAATGCAATCAGATTTATTATTAATACCAAAATATTTTTACATAACACCTTTCATCCCGACAGATCCCCAAAAGCCTTGCAAAACCTCTCTGGTTCTGTGCAATTCCATCCCCACCTATAATGCTGCCACTTTCAGGACAGAAACAAGAACCTATTCAAGTAATGACAGCAAAAGTACCGCAAGTTCCTCAGAGAGGGTGCGATTCTTAACACAACGTCAGGTTAGAGCTGCAAAAAGGAACATGAGGGACATACTACAGTCAAGAGAGAATAACTACAATCGTCAAAACACCTTTTAATCTACTCATAGATGAGTGGATCTATGGCAACCCAATATTCAGCAGTCCCATTTTTTCCTCTAATACTATCCACATTTCTTCATTTCCAGTAGCCCCACTTCTCTAAATAACCAAATTCTTTCTAGGTTCACTCTATCATTTACTGACATTAACTGTGGCAAAACGTCCCAGGTGAGCACTGAGAAGACCAGTAATGTTCAACTGTCTAGCAGAGGCAGGTCAAACAGAGAAACAAAATTGTAGTAGAAACCCTGTAGAGTTTTTGAAGGGAAGCTGATAGACTGTGACCTCCATGCTGAGTTTCATGGTAGGCTGAAAACTTATTTACACAGAATACACTGTTACAACCTGGATCATCAAAAAAAAATTATTTCTTTCACCCAATTCAGCATCTTACCTGAAGTCCACATGCCTTGTAATTGAAGCAACAGCTAGTCATGCAGAACTTTACCCTCAACAGGTTTATGAAACTCCAAACCTATTTAGACTCACGTTGCAATTCAACTTTCATTTTTACTGCAGAAAACTAATGAGATTAAACTGCATCTCTTCATTTCCCTCTAGGAAGCATTCTGTACACTGCTCAGACAGGAATCTTTCAACAAAGATAATGAAGCTCAGCAGAAGACACAGTCCTCTCCCTCCATACGATTCCTACTATGGATGGAGAAACAGTAAGTTTATCCTCTGCTAGGAAAGCACTGCTTTGATAACATGAATGCTGTCATCTTGCAGAACTCAAGTTCTGTATCTGTGACTCTGCACGCTAAATAGCCTTACTTTAATCATTGGCATCATGACATGAGTACCAATGAATTGCTCATCTATCTTGCACATTTGGACACACACAGAACAGCACTACACTAGCTAGGGAAGTAAAAGTGGGCATTCAGATCTAGAAAAAAAGGGGACTTGAGAACTTTGAGACTGTAATATGAATCTTCTTGATGGAAACTTGGCAGATGTTAGCTACCCCAAAAAGAGAAAAGAAAACAAACACAAAAGCCCTACAAATAGCTATAACTATTTTTATGGCACACACTGATGATGTTCAGTTCTTCTCTAAGTATTTTTGAGCACTGAAATCGTCATTTGGTGTTTATAACGACTTTGCTGAAAATGATTGCCCAGTCTTACAGAAAATGAGGCACAAGAAGTGAAATGGAGTACTCGAGAACAAAGAAGAGCAAGCAAGTTCACGTACTACAGGTCCAGGCTCACACTTCCAAACCATTCTGTGCCACGTGCTAACTACTACATGTTTGTCCTGGGGGAACTGGAAGTCAAGCCAGATTAGAGTGCTCTTGTTCTAAATCAGAACTCAGTGGAACTCTGGTTCCCCTTTTCATGTCTATGTAACCAACACAGAAGATCCTAGAGCCTCCTTGTACAACAGGCAGCAACGAGAGCTCTTCTCTCAGCAGTGTGTGTTCCAAAACACAGAGAAACCCTAGAGATTGCAAATCCAAGCACAGCTTAGTTGCCCATACGTTAAGAGCAAGGCAGACATCTGCCATCATGGCTGCAAATGCTGGCTTTGTGCAAAGCCAAGATCTTGCAGTGGCTGGACTCAGTGACTGCTGAAACCACTGCTGAGCAGCTGGCTGAGACAAAAAAAGTTAATTTATTTTCAAGAATGCTGAGGACCATATCCATTTCCTGAATTAGAAGAGGGTGGAATACAAAGATAGATTGTAAGTCTTCATTTTTTACTTACTTGGAGGTAAAAAATCCAAATCCTAAGCAACAGAGGCCTTACTTTGTTAAGCAGTTACTAGAGCAGACTAGAAACTGTTGTGGGTTTCTTTTAAATCAATTAGCCCTGCAGCTGCTTAAAGCTCCCATAGTTACTCTGGCCATTTAAAACATGCTGAGGGTAAGTTCAGCTATGGGCATTTTTTTATTTATTTATTATTTTTTTTTAGCTTTTTACTTCCATGGCTTTCAGGGCACATTTTGACAAGTAGTATTACTGCCTCCATGTCTCAGGCCCACCATCATAGCACCTAAAGCTTCTCAGGTTGAGAGCTTTCAAAATGTTACTCTGGAGTGAGACTTTTTCTAAAAAGAACAGTAAACAGAAAGTATGAAAGAAAAAGCCTCCACATTTTGAAAAAAAATAAAACAAAATGCTGTTTGCAGAGACCCAGTCTGCCACTTCCCCACTGAAGTACCTTCCTGGCATCACAGTAGCGTAGCCCAAAGGAGTGGAACTGTGGGAAGAAGGCTGGCTGGACAGCTGCGATCTGCGTGTAGAGCTCTGCAGGCCGTGACATGGCAGGGGTTCCCGAAAGCAAGATCACTCTCCTGGCAGCCTGGGAAAGCAAAACGGAGCATCGTTATCATACAGCTTATAATATATGCAGAACCTGCTAAAAAGTCATCCCCAGTCCCGAAAGAAAATTCCAGAGCCATTGTCCAAGCACCATAAATGGAAGAGTACTTCACCTTCCACAGATACTTTCAGCCTTCACTGCCTGAAGACACTCAAGGACAGTGCTTAAAACTTTAGGAAGCAGGACCAACCACACTGTTTCTTATTCATCATTCACATGCTGTAAGGGAAGGGTACATCAATTTTTATGACAGTACTTTCTGAATTGGCATTTACCCACTAGACACATTAATATCTTATCCCTGGCTCAATGGTTCATCTGGCATCAGATGTCACAGGAAAATGACACACCCTCTCAGGTACATCCTCACCTCCAAAATAAATTCTCGTGTAATAAACCTGCCACAGCAAGCCATAAACAGACTGTCTTCCTCACAAAAGAAGAGGCCCACAGAAGTAGGATTTTTTTCCTTACTTTTTGTTTTTTTCCTTTTTAAATTCTACTAGCAAGGAGAGAAAGATGAAGTTGCCTGAAGCAGGATCAGAAGATGTCCACCTGACAGCCATAGTAAGTCTAGGCACAGCTGGCTGTTTGCAAGAACATAAGTTAATAAATACAAATCATGTCAGAAGACTGTGAAATGTGTTGCAGGGAGACAGGAAGGGAGTGGGGTGGGAAACCTGTATCTAAAGTAGGTCGTCCCAAAAAGTGGGGAAAAAAATTGCACTACAGACATAAGAGCCATCAAGATGCATTTCTACCCTCATACCTCCATTGTTATCTAATTCTATTATTAGATGAGAGCTATGAATTTCTACTGATGTAAATTCATATATAGTAGTTAAATTATAAATGCCGTGTAATTTCCTGCATGGTTTAGTGCAAGTTCATTAAAATAACAAAGAGATTCTTGAGTGACATCTGTACCAACAGCTCATTCACATTTAAATGAAAAAGAAAATGAAATTCTTTTATCGTTTCACCGAGATCTACCAGTCACCCAAATCTATTCAGCTGAGTCATCCGCTCACCAACCAAATCTGGTGGAAAAAGAGTTCACAGATCAGCTACCGGAAATTAATTTCAGGACTCTTTATCACATATTTATATATAGGTTGTAATCAAGGTGGGACTTGCCTTCTCCCTCCATCCCTACTGAACAGATCAGAAGGAAATGTGATCACCACCAGGATCAGACAATTCCCACAAACATTTGAAAAACCAGGATATTTATTGAACTAAGTAAGAGGAGAGGTCAAACCTTTGGACGTGCCGGAAGGTGAGAGTTCGCACAAGACAGAGGTGCCTACGCTACTCAAAAGAGGGAGGAGTCACAGAGCCAAAGATACCCGATTCTATGACGAAACAAAGTGACAAAGCAGAAGTCAGGTCAGTTTTTAAAATTAAGGTAACAGTGGACGACAACTGAGCAGAACCTAGACAGTATCTGATGCCTTGCAGAAGCCTTTGAGAAGCAAACTGACACCGCCCT